AACTTATAATCAACACACAACACAGTGAAGTTACTTAAAGCAAAAGAAAGTAAATTGAAGAACAATAAACAATGTAAACTGATTGGGCGGACGAGTCTCGACCTCACTGGCCGGGACTGCGAGGAGGGAGGACTATGGGTGCTAATCCATGCCTGATAATCCCCCCCGGACTACCACCTTCCCGTCAACACAGCTGCATCTCCAACCGCCACCCTCAGCTGCATCTCTACCCACCATCTACAGCTGCCCCTCCACATATCACCATGTGGATGATTGTGGCCTCCTACAGGCGGCACCTCCCCCAACACCTGAAGGCGACGCAATCCAACCAGGCTCGAGTCCATCCCCAGCCTCCAAGGCATGCCCGGCTACAACACCGTCACCAGACACCACCGGGTTGGACAAGGTGGTGAAGCGGACCTGACCTCACCTGATCCACGACATACCACCACACATCACTATGCTAACAACTTGTCTGAATAGTCTCATGTAAAGAAAAAAAGTCTTCCACTTCTCACATTTAGAATTAGAATTAAGTAATTTTAAAATGTATATTTTCAGTTTATGACTGCCTTTCTAATAAACCGTTTATTATTATTATTATTATTATTACACACACACACACACACACACACACAAGGCTTGTTTCGCGATCTAGGGACCATTTCAGTAACTCTTCTTTGTATTCTCTCCAGCTTATCAATATTTTTTTCATAGTATGGTGACCAGAACTGAATGCAATATTACAAATGATGGCGCACGAATATTTTAAATAGCATAAGGATAACTTTTTCAGATTTATGCTCAAAAGTTCTTCCGATGAAGCCAACCAGTTTGTTAGCTTTCTTAACAACGTCTGAACAATGTTTACTTGGTTTAAGATCGTTACTAATAGATATCCCTAAGTCTTTTTTATGGCTAACCTTGGAAAGTTCGGAGCCATTCATTGTATATTTTGTGTATTGATTATTGTTACTGATATGCATAATTTTACATTTATCAACATTAAACTTCATTTGCCACTTTTCTGACCAACTGACTAAGATGTCGAGGTTAGATTGTAATTGTAGTTTATCGGTGGTTGTAGTTACTTTACTTGTGATTTACGTATCGTCGGCAAATTTTGATATCTTCATCAATATAATTGACAAATATTAGAAAAAGAATGGGGCCAAGTACTGAGCCCTGTGGCACACCGCTTATAACGTCTCGCCAGTTAGATGATTTACCATTTATGACAACGCGCTTTTTTCTCTTGGAAAGCCAGTCCTCAAACCATTTGAAAATTTAGCCAGTTATGCTATATGACTCAATTTGTTTTTAGTAATCGTTTATGAAGAATTTTGTCAAACGCTTTTTGGAATTCAAGGGAAATTATATCTACCGTTTTTGTCTTGTCATAAATATTGAATACATCGTTATAGAAGTCAAGAAGATTCGTTAAGCAAGAGCGTTTGTTACGGAAACCATGTTGATAATTACTAATCATTATATTTTCTTCCAGGAAAGTCACTAGTTTATAACGTATTATAGTTTCCATTGACTTACCAACTACGGATGTGAGGCTGATTAGTCTGTAGTTAATCGGTAGTGATTTATCTCTTTTTTTTTGTGTATTGGAGTAACATTTTCAAATGTCGGGGACTCTTCCAGAATTTAAAGACTTATTGAATAGCATTGTAAGAGGTTTGCTGATTTGATATTTAGCCTCCTTTCAAACTCTCGGTACAATGCAATCAGAACCAGGAGTTTTATTTACTTTAATCATGTCAAGTGCCTTAGTTACAGCATCCACAGTAAAATCACATTTCCTTGAATTAATCAAGTCAGGTTATTTCCTTGATTTCAAAGGTGTCTTCAACGGTAAAGACAGATGCAAAGTAATCATATAATACTTTGGCCATTTCTGATTCTGTATTTGTTACCTTACCGTTTTCTAGGTGGTCTGGGCCAATACTTTATTTTTATCCCTTACCTGTGGCGCCGATAGATTTCATGGAGGCCTTAGATAGTCGGCCTCAGCCCGTTAGTAGCGCGGGTTAGAAGTTTTACATGACACTTTGTTTCTTATAGAGAGGCTCATGTTGCTAGCGGAAGCTCCTCGAGCATAAAGCTTTGCAATCCCGTCGAGGATAGTGTTATGGCAGCATGTGGGTGATTTTAGGCCACTCGGTGGTGTTACCAAAGAAAAGTGGCCAGCACGTGTCGGGACTCGAACCTGGAACTCTGAGTTGGTATGCCCAACCGTTAGCCGCTAGGCCACCACCGCTGTGATAACTTATTTATTACGTACGTAGGTGTAAAATTCTTTGGGGTTCGATTTTGTTTTATTTGCAATATATGTTTCGAGATCTTTTTTTACTTCGTCTAATCATCTATTTTGTTTCGGATCTTAGTCTGTCATATTCTATCTTATCGTTTTCGTTCTGTGATAGTAAATATTTATTGTGTGCGTGTTTTTTATGTAATAATCCTGCCGCAATTTGTCTATTCCACCAGTTCCGTTTATTATTTTTACTTCTACGTGGACGTCTCTTACAAACTGGAATGCATGACTTGACGGCTCCATTTAAAATATTATAGAAGTTTGCCTATGATTTATTTGTATCGGTTTCGTTCTCTACTACACCCCAATCGGTATCTGCCAAAGTCTTTCTCAAATTTTCAAAGTTAACATTGCGATTGAGGGATTGAGTTCTATTTGTGTAATTTATTTCTTAATACATTTTATTTATTTATTTATCTATTTATTCATTAGTTTATCTCGTACACGTTTATTATTTATTTATTTTCCCCTTAACTTGATCTAATTTCATCTATTGTGTACAGACAGACAGACAGACAGACAGACAGACAGACAGACAGACAGACAGACAGACAGACAGACAGACAGACAGACAGACAGACAGACAGACAGACAGACAGACAGACAGACAGACAGACAGACAGACAGACA